GACTGTCAGTCACCCATTTTCATTCCAATCAAAAACAATGTGAATCAAACACCCAATATGCTGAATGTACATACCTAGTTTGAATGACATATATCCATGCTCACTGAGATTGAGTTTCGAAATGGCAGAAATGAATGATTTTGTGAAAATTTTAGCGTTAGAATAGTCGCCATTTGGCCATTTTGAATTTGATCATGAAACGAATACATTGTGCATATGTATGATATGAAGTAAGTGTGAATTTTGACTGAATTTGGCCCAGACGTGTCTAATATAAAGATGCAGAAGGATGCACGGGTGCATGGATACACAGGGGTGAAATTATAATTAAGCCAAGGTAGAGAAATTTGTAGCAACATTGCATGTCTTCTGACATAACACCTACAAGCCAACAAAGAGTGGATAGGAACTGCTTCCTACAGCTACACTTACACTTGGAATGGAATGGAATGGAGCTCTATTGTTGGCGTTATCAAAACTATCATAAGATAAAATAAATATTTTACTCACTTTTTGTTTTTATTGCATTGGACAGAAGATAATCACTTTTAATACCAAATGAATTCACTCCGCAAATTCTGAAGTAATATGTTGTGGCTGGATTGAGAGTCTCGACATAACATGAGTCCACAGTTGATATATGATCACTGGCTGTCCATTCTTTGGTCTTACTTTCACTTTGTTCAATGACATATTTTTGCTTTTTTGTACCACCATCTTTAGGGTGGTCCCATTTAAGTCTGCAGGAGTGTTCACTGACGTCACTTACAACTAGGGGACCCTCTGGTTTATATGTTTTGCCTATAATTAAAACATATAATAACTACTACAACTTTGCTCATTGAGAATCTAGATATCTAACAATAATTCAGAATGAAAGTACTTGAAACAATGCAATAATATATCTCTAGATTAGGTTTTGTTTATTTTCATATTGCAACATAACATTTTTATACTAGTGACCTGATGGACAATAGCTCTGATGTCATGCATAACATTGTGATAGCCAAGACAAGCAATGCACACCCGTAAGACAAAACGCAGTTTGGTTATGGCTGTTGAGAACATGTCAACTTAACTTCATCAAACAAAAATAATTTACACCTCAAATATCATAGCAATTTGGTTAGTAGTGTTCAAAAGGATTCCCAAATTTGACACGAAATGAACAAATTTGATAAAGGGCCATCCAAGGTAATTAAATATAGCATATCAAAGTGGGCTGATATTTTCCAAAAAATTGGGGAAAAATTACAAAAATATTACTGATTGAAGATATCATCACTAAATAAAAAAATTGGCAAAGACCCAACAAAGGTAAACAAGTATCAAAATAATTGAACTGGTAGTTTTCAAGAAGAAGTTGAAAATAGAATTGTTGACAAACGACAAACAGCTCTGCTCTGTCACTATAATGACAGTGGAGGTAAAAAAATCTGTTTTTCAGCAGTGGGTTAAATTAACTGAGTTTAACATTAATTAAGTTTTGTACCAACATTAGCTGGGTCATTTAATAATTTTACTAAACTATACTGTACCACAATACCAAGTGAAATATACTCACTTTTCACTGTTTTATGATACTCTGCACATTTTTGGAGCAACTCTTTCTTTTCATTGTTTGCTAGAAACTTTTCTAAATCACTTGTGTTACTGAGTGTTATATCTCGTCTCAAGTATAACTCTTTCAAAACATCATATGCATTCTGCTTCTTAAAGACACTTTCTGTTATTTTCTCACTAAACCAATCTTTCAAACTGGTCAGTGTTTCTGTTTCTGTGAAATAATAATGGTACAATCAGTAAATGTGTATATGAAGTAATCAATAAAACAAAAATGGCAAAGTAGTGACCACTTTGTTTGTATTTATGTACATGCAGATTCTTCACTAATATATTGCCTGATTCAGTTGAAAGTTTGCATACAAGTTTTCTATTAGGTATCTGACATTTTGAATCAGATTGCCAAATAAACTAACATGCATCAGTAAGACACTATGTGGGATGTTTCCACCAAGTCTAAATAATATCAGGCCAAGGATGACTGAGAATATTAGGGTTGTACAAACCAGAAAATCCGTGGAAATAATAAATTTCATTAATTACTCGTTAGGCAGCGTAGTACGCTCACCAGAGGTGGGGAAGCCATGGCGGTTGAAATGTAAATTTTTCAACACAAAAAGCAGAAAAGGTAAAAAAACTAAGAGAAATCTAAAACTACTCACTAAGAAGGAGTGTTGTCTTGGGATACAACAACTCAGGTGACTCTCCAGCGACTGAGTGCCCGAGAGTAGACAATAAAATAGGACCCCAACAATTTTAATGCATAAAACAGTGTATTGTTGAGGTTCGATAGTGCAGACCGAAGCCAGCAGCGTCAAGCAAAAGGAGGCTGGTTTCGGCTGAAGACACCATCACGCTAATGCTTTCGCGCATGGGATCCCCTGGTGGTGTGGGCTGGGTCAACGAAACTGTCTAACCTGTCACCACTGGTCCCAACCTGTAAAGACCTTCGTCCAGTGTTTGGAGGTCTCTCAGGTAATAGTTAATGAAGACATTCTGAGATCTCCAGAACTCTGCTCGGAGCATATGCTCGAACAAGGCACCAGACATCAAAGCCAAAGTGTTGGCTACTCTGTGCACTTCGTGTGCCCTCACCTGGTGACGTTCCGAATGAGTCGTTAAAGAAGCCGTAAAATTGTATGCTTCCACGACCGTATCAACAATCCCCCGTGAAATGGTGATATTCGAGGCAGGGTGGCTTTGCTTGCCCCGCCCATAACAGACAAACAAGCGTTTCTCACTGCCCCGAGACACCTTGTCCTTAGTGCGATCGAAGTACCAGCTCAAAGCTCGGACAGGACATAGTATCCATTCCCGACGGACTTCCAAGCCCACTAAGTTAGTGAGGCATGGAACGACGATCGGTTGGGATTGATTCTTTGCAAGAAAACCCATCCGAGTCTTCAAATAACTAGTGAGTTCATGGAGGAGGCACATACATCACTAAAAGACAGTGCCCCTATCTCTGAACGCCGCCTACCTGACGCTAGAGCCTTAAGAAATCAAAGAAAGCTTAGAAAGAACTCCCGTGTGCTAGTAGTATTGGAGACACATTAAAATTAATTCAAAATTTAAGATTTGCTTTTCAAATGAGAAGCTTGGCAACTAATTTTTGGCTGCTATTTGAGATGCATAACATGAAAACAATGTGATTCAAATTATCAAAATGTAAAATACATTTGATTTTTCATCCATGGTTTTTAGTATAATTTATTCCAGAGCACCTCTGCGATGAATTCAATTTAAATCTTATTGAATTAGATGGGCTATTAATAGATAATCAATATGCATGTTTATCAACATTAAACTAATCATGTCTGTGGATTACCTCAATGAACCAAATGAATTATTATACAAATTAAGCAATTATTATGCATAGCTTTAGGTCTGTATATTGTTTTAGGGTGCACATGTACATTATAATGTAAGTTTCATTATAATGTGATGATTAATCCTAACTAAATTAGTGGAAAGCTGAAAAGTAAATTATTATGCAAATTAGGTAATTATTATAGATGTGTATAAACCTAAAACTAATTTGATCATCACATTGTGTTAGAGTAAATACGTACCATCTATGTAAGAAGTTTCATTTAGATGTGATTATAACCAAAAATTATGAATTATTATGCAAATTAGGTAATTAATATGATCTGATTATAATTCAAAACTGAGCGGGTCTGTGCATTGTTCTGGAGCATCAATGTACCAAGTTTCATTGAAATGGAATAATGTAAAAAGTGAAAATTGGCTAATTTTGCAAAGTAGGGAATTAATATGCACTGATTTTAACCCAAAACTAATCAGGTCTGCACATTGTCCTAGAAAATCTATGTACCAGGATTCATTGAAATCAGATAATTAGTATTTACGATGTACTCTACGCATGAAGATGGAACAATGCGGGGCTGAACAGGAGAGTGCCGTTCGGCTGGGACAACAGATCCGGAAGATCGGGCAACTCCCCTGGGGACTCGACTAGAAGGTCCAGCAGACCTTCCTGGCCAATTGGGCGCCACCATTAACATAAGGCAGGTGGGCTCAAGTCACAGTTTCTCCAACACTTAGTGCCTCGTTTGAAGGGTGGAAATGCGTAAGCGTCTATGGGACTCTCAGAGATCAAAAGAGCGCCATGGCAAATGCGCTTGTCTCCGTGAGCAGTGGCACGCACGTCAGAAGCTTGGCATATGGTGATTATCAAGCAGACCTAGCCATAGCCATAGCTCCACTCAGTTCCAGTCACCAAAAGTGATTCTCCTCCACTGGCTTCAACATATGGAGAAATACGTCCCCCCCCTCTAGCTGTACAACACTACGGACAAGCACTTGTTCTGTTTCGAACTGCATAGCCAGAAAAAACTAGGTTGCGGGATGATATGGGGTTGGACTTGATAATATTATTAAAAGAAAAGGGCCAACTCATGGAGGAGCGGTTGCGCTAAGTGCAAGTGCTCCGCTCCACAAACCCGTTCAGCCACCTGAGGACGCCAACCCCCCAACTCTTGGAAACAAGAAGCATGTGAGAATAGAACCATTTAAATGGGGTTCTTCACAAGATGTACCGCCCTTCTCTCCAAAAGCCTGGCTACTTCCTGCCGGGTCATCCCCGCCTTGACCTCGTCCCTCGGTAGCAGACCAAAGGGGGAATGAGGTTTCAGAGGGGTAGGAGACCGGAGAGCGCTTTGTTACACCACCCCCACCCCAAGACTCTACTGCGAGCATCAAGGGGTCAGAAACTCTCCTGCGCCAAGCTGGTGTGCTGCTGAGGCGTGATCCGACGGGGAAGAGCGGACAGGGGTTCAGAGCTACAATGTACAGCTCTCCGAACTCCAGCCCCCAGCGTAGGAGGTCGAAGATGGGGAGGCTGAGCCCGAGGACTCCGGAGGGAGGAACCCAGAGTCCTACCACCATATATGCCCAAGCAGCTGGTGAAGCCTTTAACGAGACTTTGTGGCTCCCTGGACCCCGGAAATGCCAGAACTTCCTACCACAAGGGCCACGTTCTTGGACCTTTTCTGACACTTCCTGCTACCGGTCTTCTTCTGCCCCTTAGAAGGCGACAACGAGCGCTTTAGATCCTTGCTGGCTGGTCAAAAAGCATGGGATGTATGCCTGATCTGTCCTGCGGTTTTACTGCAAACTGTCAGCAGAAAAAGGGCAAACAGCCCTAGCCAACAAGAATAATATTAATGACCACCGCATCAGCTAAGTGGGCCATTAACGAGTTGGCCCCCAAGGCCCTCTCTGCAGGTGATCAAACTCGTCTCCCGCTAGAGTAGGGTAGGCGCACTGACTCAGTATTGCCTCTCGCTCAACTGAAACCACTCCTTGCAAAGCGGTCAGTATATACTTGCAGGACATCGCATTTAGCGACTCTCTATGCAAAACTGGTCCAACTGCCTGAGGATCGTAGTTCGTTGCTTAGCACTCAGCCGGTTAGAACTTAAAAGGGTGAGCTAACGCTCTAACAAAGAAGACCCATTCTACAAATTTGATGGGTTTAAATTATGCCCGCAGTGCCTGATACACATACAGGCTCTGGTGCTGGTGAAATGACCAGGCAACATGGCCTTCCCGATCTAAGTAACCCGCCTTAACAAAGGCATGAGTATCAGAATCGAGGCAGGGAACCCGTGGAGAAGGCTGTGGCACTGAACGAGTAACCCAAATCAGGGACCCGGTTTGCGTAGCCCCAATGAGGAGACATGGGACAAGACCGACCCAATCCAGGATCAGTCACTGGGGGGATGGGACACATCTGACCCTAGCCCTGGCGGAGGAGGAACAGGTAGTATCTCATCCCCCCAGGTCCTCCTTCGTCATATCCTGTGACTGCAGAAGGGAGTTGACTTTTGAGGCCAGATTAAACATCCATGCCTTCCAAGCCATCTCTTCAACTTGACTAGTACCGGTAAGGGAAGGCTTGTTCGTGCAAGCAGCTCAGGCTGCGTCAGTACCGATGAAGTCTTGGTGGATTGAATGCTGTTTACTGACATCGGTAATCATGGTGACAGGCAACTCCAATCCCCTAGCAAAAGCGGTGGAACGGTGTTTACCTGACTCGATAACATCGAACAGGACATTGGGAGAAAGTTACATCGCCGGTGTTTCCAAGTTATCGACCGATATCCCCGTCACCTCAAAGATAAACGGTTTTGAAGGTCTTGTCTCATTGATCCCGCTACATTGAGCAGGGACTCCAACAGGGGCTCCTAATAAGGAAAGCCTTTACCATAATGACGTTGATTGTCGGAGTCGATCACCACTAGATTTCTAGAGGCTCAATCAGAAATCTGTAATCTGCAATTTTTTTTGTACGATAAATCCCGCAGTAGCAAAATTACGTAACCATCAGACAGCGGAACAAAACAAAATTAGGTAACTGGTGGGCCTCTGGTGCATTATCGCCCTGTGGGTGACCCCTTAGGCGGGGCCTTTTTTATAAAGAATACTATCCAAGGGTGTTTGTTTTGGACCCGTGTATATTCTCTAGTTGTTCTGTTTGGGGCTGTAATCTGTAATTAAGCCTAACAAGTAATAAATGAAATTTATTATTTCCACGGATTTTCGGGTAGGTGATGTAGTAAACACAGTTGATGACAAATTTTATGCCAAATTTAAAAAAAAAATTGGATGAGTTTGTCTGAGATAAATGTACACAATTTGTAAAACAAGGGACCTGGTGATCTAAATATCTCTGCGGTCCTACAAGAACATAATGGTAGCCATGTCGAGCAATACACACACCCTTAAGACATCGCAGTTATCCCACAAAAAAGTAGTTTGGTTCTGGCTGTTGAGAACATGTCAATTTAACACTAGCTATCAAACAAAAATGGTGTGCACCTCGAATATCACAGCAATCAGACTGTGTTCAAGCAGTTGAGCGGTTAGTTTTCAAAAAATAGCATTTTTTACCCAAAATTACAAAAATATTTGTTAAAAATAGATAATTTAAGATATCACCACAAAACGAACAAGTATGACATAAGTCTACGCAAGGGACATACTTAAACCAAGTATCAAAGCAATTGAGCTGGTAGTTTTCAAGAAGTTGAAAATGCAATTATTGATGGACAATAGATGACGAACAACAGACATTCATCTATATGAACAGCTCCGCTCTGTCATCATGAACACTGATCATATACTGCTCGATTTAGTGTTCTTGGTCCAGCTACAGTGAAATAGAAAGTATTGATGGGTGTTAAGCTCACCTTTGTTTATTTCAGTTGAAATGGTCCAAATCATTTCATCAAACTGTGGGTAAGCTTCTTCATAGCCAGAAATTATGTTGTCTGAGCTTTCAGGGATTCCTGTAAAATATATAAATTGTTACCAAACGAAAGCATAACATTTTGATTATGTTAAAGTAAAATATCAAGAGGAACAGACTTGACTTCACTGAGGTATCTTTAGTTAGCCTTTGTGCCTTTCACTCAATAATATTAATATTACAGAAATTACTGATTACTATGGCAATCTATAGATTCCATGTGCTAAATTTAGAGATGTGACTAATCACAACTAATTACAATATAATAGAAATGTTGGAACAATCAAAAGGTGGCATAGTAAGAGTATTTTAGTTTTCTCATAAATTCTCACCATAGATATTACATACCAAATGTCAGGATAATTTCAAACTTTTAAAGACTTTGTTTATCATTTTAACATTGTCGTCAATCGAAAACCAGAGGTAAGTGGGATGTGGTTTCTCAAATAAGTATTAAAACATACTGCAGTACACACCCACACTATTTTTCAAACTGGTGGCTGCTTCTCGCTGCTGTTTGCACAGGCATTTATATCTGAGGATCCAAAAGCGTATAGCATGGACCCAAGCAAATGCATGATTTGGCACATGCACTTCGGGAGAAATGCAAGAAGGTGATCATGTTGAACATGTATTTAGTTGTAAAAGCTACATTTCCAGAAATTCGGTCGTAAATACTCATGAATGACCAGAGTTGAACCAGACGGCAGGCTTTATGGTGAATAGTGAATAAAGTATAAAGGGCAAAACAAAGTGTAAAATATACTCACCTTTTATCATTCTGTGATACATGTGCACTTTTTCAAGCATCCTTCCCTCCTTAATTTCTGTTAGACATTTTTCCAGATAACGTGTGTTACTGTGTGTTATTTGCTTCCTCAGGCATAACTCCATAAACACGTCATATACTCTTTTCAGTTTTGCCCTTTTGCCCTCTGGTATAATTGTTTCGCAACGACTTTTCAAATTTTGAAGTTTTTCTGTGAAAAAATGATTTATAGCACAATCAAAAGAGGTACATTATTAAATAGACAAGTCATTATCAATGACACAGTCATTGTTGCAATTAGGGAACATGTTATCCATGCTAAAATAAAATAATATGACCAAAACAGCAAGATGAATGCAAGTCTGTCACTTTTTATTTCATCAAAAATTGAATCATCATAGACATATATTGCTACATGTAAAATATATGCAATCAAATAACTATTCATGTGACCAGGTGAATTGTTTCTTAATGAATTTGTAGTGTATGATCGGGAATTAAGAGTGAATAATAAACAAATCTAGTATTAACAAAATTTGCAATGTAATACATGGTCACATGGTATGCATTTTTTGTATCCAAACGCAAGTAAAGTGCAGGTCTCCAGTGTGTGACAATGTTTTCATGAGAGGGAAATAAGTCAAACATGACCATATACCAAGTGAGTAACATACATACTGTATTTTTGAAAATATACAATTTGCAGTGTCAGTTAAGGTTTGCTCACACCCATAGTTGTATCCAGTTGTTAATTAATTATTTTGCAGCCAGGCTCACCCAATGAAATTTGCTACTATAAATATTTATTACAAACTTATCCCAACAAGTAAACATATGCATGTATTATTACTGTGATAGCCTTCAGAAATATAGTAATATGCCAAAAAGGAAGATGTTAGATCTAATATAAAAAAACAATTATCATTCACAATTATGCACGCCTGGATGGCAGCACTAAACTGCTGCATGAGCATGTGGCCCGCATAAATTATTAAGTGGATTTAGTGTAAAGGGCTCTGAAATATGACCTTATGTTAATTGTGTGTCGAACAGGGACAAGGTATAGTCTCACTTAAATCGTAGCTTCAAAATTCCCAGTGCATAATGAGAAATGTAATGACAATGCTCTACCTAGTTAACAGCACTAAAGTAAGATTTGCGTTTTATAATTTAGAATTTTCAATTAAAGGTCTGTGCATAGTCACAAAGCATCATAAAATATAAATATAGCTGTATAGCAGTAATGACCAGGTTTCAAGCCCTTTTGACCAATGACACTTGGCATATTTGCTGTATACCCTGATAGCACTGTTTGCATCTCCCTATACACAATGGCGAATGAAATATTACAGTCATGCATATTAATGAAGTGACATGACCATATATGGTCATTTGATATGTTTTATTACTGTTGTCCAATACCTCCATTAGAGTGATGGTTGTACGTTTATATTTACAACAGTGCTTGAGAAATGACAGTTATGCATATTAATGAGGTCACCTGACCATATATGGTCATATTTCAGACAAATCACGTGTCACTTCCCTTTACTATAAAACTGGTTGCATGTCCCTATCTGCAACAGTGCTTGAGATATTATAATTATGCATATTACAAGACCCCCCCCCCATCACTGTTTCTAGAATGAATGAACTTTCAATTGAAAACAAAAATTACAAATAGAATTTCCCTGCATAAGTGCATTTACATTCAGTATATATAGATCATACTAGGGAACCTCTCTCTTTCCCCATGATTCATTGAGGAGCAAAAAAAATATGTGAAATGATCACTCTAAAATCTTTTTCTCTAAAACGGCTCTCTAAAAACTAAAGATTGCTACCAGGTCATATGACCTGTGTGCCTGATTTTAGGAAACCCTAATGATTGGTATTTGATGGAACAGACAAACATATACAGACATCCAAAAATACAGATACCTACACAGATGAAATAAACTGCAATGACTCCCATTGTGTGCCTTGCACACAGCAATCAAATACACCTCTTGTCATATTCAAATTAATGCATTCGCCCGAAGCAAGAATATGTTGAAAAAATATATAACATACTTGATGACCAAACTGAGTAACTTGACTAATAGATTTCCAGATTTAGATTTAGTTTATTTCTAGCAGAACCTTATCAAGTCTAGCATTATTTCTATCCAGTTGTAATGAATTTGATTAGCAGTTCTTGAGATATCATGCAGCTCCACTGTTTTTGTAAAGTGCCTTCCTCGGAACAAAGTACTAGTATATACCACAGCCATGGTGGTATACATGATTGTTGGCAATTGTTATCAACTTCATACTTGTTATTTGCTTAAAATAGTGAATTGAAGATATCACCAAGGACAAATCTGAGAGAGGTCAACCAAGGGTAAGAACATACCAAGCAAGCAGGTAGTTTTTTCACCCAAAATGTAAAAGTATTTGCTAAAAATAGAAAATTAAAGATATCTCCACAAAATAACCAAATCTGACCCAGGTCTGCCAAAGGTATCAACATACCAAGTATCAAAGCAATTGAGTAGATTTCAAGAAGAAGTCAAAAATAGCATTTTTACCAAAATTGAAAAAAGAATATTCACCACGAAATGACCAAATCTGACAAAGGTCCACCCAAGGTATCTACACACTGAGTATGAAAGCAACTAGTCTGGTACCTGTCAAGAACAAGTAGATAATATTATTCGCCAAAATAGACAATTGAAGATATCACCACAAAATGAACAAATCTGACAGGTCAATCCTATACATGTGGACCATCAATATCAGCACTGTACACATATCTGTCTAAATGAGTGTTTTTGTTCTTTCCCTTTACAGTGCAACAGATACAACATTTATGCATATTATGAGGTCATTATGACCAAATAGTGTTATACATGTAGTTCACAACAACAATCAAGTCAAAAGGATCAGCGTTTTTTGAGAAGGCATCCGAAAAACCTCCATCAAGACTACAGACCCACCACCAGCTGGTATAGCTAAGTAGTTACTAAATTACCCAATGAAGTGCCTTGTTCATATTAAATATTTCAACCACTCATCAAAACACAAATACATTTTTTGTATGTCTGCACACTTTTTGGTGATAAAATATTTTTAGGTGCAGTATTCCCTTAACAAAACATAACTTGCTTGCAAAAAGAAGGTATAGAATTAAAAGTCAGTACCTCACTTAATTTCTGGTTCAGACTCTGATCATTGGATTGGTAAAATTAATCCATCATCAAAAAAAAACCTTTGACCAAAATGGCTTAAAGTTCACTACAATGCCTGCCTGAGGCATATCAGGCTTACAAATAAGCAGCCTGTAGGATATAGATCCGCTGTTAGCAATGCACATCTCAATGAGAGAATTGAAGATATCACAACAAAATGAACTAATCTGAGAGAGGTCTACCTGAGGTACCTATATGTATAATATCAAACCAATTGCACTATATAAAAATCACTTTTACCAAATATGGCAAAAATATTTATCAAAATTAGAGAATTGAGTACTGTAGAATACTTTATTTTTGCTTGGAATTTATTTTCGCTATTTTCGCTGAAGGGATGATTCCTTGAAAATAAAATCCAGCGAATATACTTTTTTTTCCTGTATTTCACATTAAACTCATGAAAAATCAGTGAAAATAAATTCCAAGCAAAACGTCCAAAAAGCCTTTTCAGCGAAAATTAATTCCAGCGAAAATAAAGTATTCCACAGTATATCGTCACAAAATAAACAAATCTGGAAAAGGTCCATTTGAAGTGTCTATATGTAGAATATCAAAGCAATCAGACTTGTGGTTTTCAACATGAAGTCAAAAAATATCACTTTTTACCAAAAATGACAAAAATACTCATCAAAATTAGAAAATTGAAGATATCATCACAAAATGAACTAATCTGAGAGAGGTCTACCTGAGGTACCTATATGTATAATATCATGCAATTGGACTATATAAATATCACTTTATAACAAAAATCGCAAAAAATATTCACCAAAATTAGAAAATTGAAGATATCATCACAAAATGAACTAATCTGAGAGAGGTCTACCTGAGGTAGCTATATGTATAATATCAAGCAATTGGACTATATAAATATCACTTTTTACCAAAAATCACAAAAAAATATTCACAAAAGTTATAAAATTGAAGATATCATCATGAAATGAAAAAATCTAAGTGAGGTGTACCTGAGATACATATACACCAAGTATCAAAGCAAATCAGGCTTATTGTTTTCAATAAGAAGTGGAAAAAGTAAAACGTTGATGCGAACAATGGTCATTGGACAATCACTCATATGATGAGCTCTGCTTGACAAAGTCAACAGTAGAGCTGAAAAAAGACTATTATCCATTAACTTGATATACAGACAGAATGGTTCATATGGTGGTTATTTAAAACGAACAGACTCTATTAGTAGCTATTCCCTTACTAAATAAAAAACTGTTCTGGCATACCAAAGGTACCGGTACACTATAAGTATACCAAATTGATTTAAGTATACTTCAGGTATACCAAAATACTACTTATTTGAAAACTTGTTTCTGGATAAATATACTTATTAAAATGTACCTTCCAATACTGAAGTTCAAGTGGTACACTTTAGGTATACCTTTGAGCACAGCTATCATGCAACGTTTAAAATTGGTATATTTCAGGTATACCATATATGTACCTATTTCCAACTTTGCATGTGGACAGTCAATTTGAGTATACCTGTTGAGTTCTTTGTCTGTTTGTTTTGTGAGGTTTATCAAAGGTATACTATTCGAGATAAATGTACCTAGGATATACTTTCCATAAAAATAAATACACCTAAGGTATACTTCTTCCAAAGAGGTATACCCAAAGTATACCCATCAATGTGCCCAATTCTGAACTACTTAAGGTATACCAGTTGTTTCATTTCTGGTACACATTAAGTATACCTAACTTACGCATGCAGAGCGTACCTTGGGTATACTTTCAGTATACTTGATTTTGGTAAGGGTTAGTAGCTGTTCTGGGTATGACTGACAGACAGACCAAACTCATTGCCATTCGCACACATGAGCTACAGCTGAGGTTATCATGGTGAAATTAACTATCCAGAAGGCCTACACATAAAATATCAAAAGTAATTTTTGATAAAGTCAATAATATAATTTGCCAACAATATTGGACCTCACCACATTAGTCTTGAAATGTGTAGTATGAATTATTTTTTTTCTACACTCGACAAAAGAGGTAACATTTTTGAATTTAATTAAAAACGAAACAACGTCCCAGAGTAACCCAGTATGTGTGATGTTTATGTTGGATTAAATCTGCCCATTCATTGCTGATAAATTGTCATACAATTCCTCATTCATCCATGAATACCACATAATTCCAATAGGCCCCAGCTGTTTCAGGCTGTGCCAGAATTGGTTAATTAAAGTACTATTATAATTGTTTTTAAATATAAAAATGGCACTAAACAAATCACCCCAATTCCTCATAATCATACCTCTGTATCCTTAGTATTATTGTGCGTATAATATCATATAAAGTTGATGTCTTACCATCATTTATTTCATCTGAAATATCACAGAGCAATCTGTTAAACTTGTCACTAGCTTCCATATATTCAGGATAGATGTCGCTTTGATCAATGAACGATCCTGCAAAATAGAAAAGATGATATAATACAAACATACCCAAGTATTTATTTGTAAAATCCTAACATCAAAAAATGAAATGGTACATTAAAAAGGATTTTTTGTGTAAACAGTAAATATTATTAAAGGAGGAAACCAGCAAAAAACAATATTCCAGAGGAAGGAGCTCCACAATTATAGGTTGCACGTTTCTTATTATATCACTTTTTGTTCGTCAATATTACAAATGTATGTACCGTAAAAACTCTAAAATTTTGATCGGTTTTAAATTTGTGTTGAAAATCTGACATGTTTTTAGAGCACAAAATTAAGGTACATTTTCGAACAGTCACATTTTTCAGAATAGAAATCAGCAAATGAAAAAAGTGTGGATGATAGACAGTGTGCTTCGTTAGTTTTTAAAAAATGAAAGCTGTCTCACATCCCCTAGAAAAAACTTGTGAATGTTCGAAGTACCGGTACCCATTGGACAGAAGATACACGGAAGTTTAGCAACTGGAACATTTTGTATCTCCCAGACCCAGTGCAATATATCCGGTTGGAACCAAAGCTAATGTGTCCCTTATTTGAGGGACAAAATTCTGCTGTAAATTCGCCCTGGGCCGTTAAACGGCAGTTTGGATTAAACAAATAAAATTGGATTTAAAAAAAAATAAACTGGTACGATGTTTATTGTGACTAGCGTGAATGGATAAGCTTCATTTCGACAATGAGCTGTTATCACTGTAAACAATGTTGAATTATTCTTCAAACGCTCACTTTATTTTTTGAAAACAACTAATTTTTTTATTTGAAATAAAAATCAGGCTGTTTTCCCATCAAAATCCAAGCCAAAAGCTCGGACTACAACATCAGCAAGTCTCTACCATGTTGCGTTCCATAACATTAACATATTTAAATGAGCTATGGCAATTTGAACACGTTGACATCATTCAGCTTTTTGATTGGTTAATTAGTGATTTGACCTATTAGGTGAACTTATGCAAGAGAAACAAAATGGCGGATATCTACAGCATCAAACGTTTATATGCGACCGAAATCATTCGCTTACTATGAAACTGAGTTGAATTTTATTTGCATTTCATCACAATTCAACAAATTAATTTTTTGCCTGTTATTATCACTACTGAGTAACAATCAACAATTGTAAAACGCACTGTGACCGTATTTCGCAACCATGATCATTTGCTGCTACGCAATACAGTTGTGTTTGTTTTTATTTGAAACATAGAATATACTTTCATTAGCAATAAAATAAAAATCTCTCAGTTAATCAGAAACTCTGATTCACGCCTTCGGAGAAAGTCCCATTAGAAAGCTCACATAGATTTTTTTGTTCGAAATTTTCGAATAAGAATAAGTCAGCAATTTTTTAGTGAAGTCGGCAATTTGGAGGTGAATAAAATACTGAAAAACCAAATAATTAGGCAATATAATTTTTAGAGGGGTCAAAGTTTTAGTTTTTTTATAGTGGTTCACTATTTTGATTCTCCAGCAAAGGATTATGGGTACAGTATGACATAAACAATGTGGTGAAAAAATGAAATTTTGCTTACAGAGGCTGAAATGAGAAAAATGTATATGCAAATAAGGTTTTTAATATGCAAAATCATGACCCAAAAAGGTAATCATGTTTGCGAGTTACACAAAGGTCCACCCAACCTATATGTATAATATCAAAGCAATCTGACTTTTCAACAAGAAGTCCAAAATATTACTTTTTATCCAAAATGACAAAAAATATTCATCAAAATTAGAGAAGGTTCACCTGAGGTACCTATATGTGTAATATCAATGCAGTTTTCATAAAGAAGTTGAAAATATCACCTTTTTCAAAGCAATCAGACTTGTTGTTTTTAAGAAGAAGTTGAAAAGTTAAAAGTTGATGAGGACAGTGCAGTCAAAGCTTTAAAAAATTTCAATGTTTTGAGTAACTGTTTGAAAATTAGCCTCAATATCAGAAGTAAAGTGAAAAACAATATTAAATAGCGACAGTTTTTTTAGGTTAATTCTTCACAAATTTGCTCAGGTAAATCATAGGTTAAAGAAAAATACTCGTAATTAATTGTTACCATTGTTCTAAAATGACCAAACCTGAACAAAATATTGCAAGTGATAATCAGCTAAAAAAATAAACTGCCGTGATATATTAGAACTTCAATGCAAATACCAAACGCAAGATATTTTGAACTGATTTATCTTACAGCCATATCATTACCATCATATGAAAAGATTTACCGAGCACAAGTGATCAATTGACTGAATGAGCAGACAGACATAATTGGTACAACATTGCCACTCATTTTCACACACCTTTTTGGACCTTTTTCACAAAATCCGACAATTTTGCTCTGCCAATATCATTCAGTAGACTTTCCAAATATTTGGTTTTTTCAAGTCCAATATGCCCATGTTTGTATAGCAATATAAATATGTCATACGCATTCTTTGCCTCTTTTTTCATAGCTGCTGGTATATTATCACCACACCGTTCTTTCAAAGTCTTCAATGTTTCTATGAAATAAATAAGGATAGAATTATATACAAATATGCACTAAGTCAAAATGACAGGTGAATAAAAATCACACCTGTTTTAAAACTGAGTTCAGAACAATGACAATTATTTGTTTTTACATATAAGAGTACAATAATCGTATGGTGTGTTATAATATTTGAAATAAACATGACATCTGCGTGTCTCTAATATCTAAGATGGCAAAATGTACATATATTGTAATTCTAAATTATAGTGCATTGTTGGGAGCAGGCATGCTTTATAATTGGTAGAAATAAGTTTGATTCGGTCATAACTCGCTCACAAGGTACAATGATTTGGAATAGCGATATGGTTAATGGCTGCCAGTTAGCCGTCTTGAATTGGATTGAAAAAAACAGAACGTCATCATCACCCACCCAAGACACCAACAATTTAAGTGTCAAGGCAATAGGACAATTAGTTAGACAACAACATTATTTTTTTACCAAAAATATGCACTAAGAATAGAGAAATAACGAGTAAATATAAGTATCAAAAAAATTAAATTGTCAGTTTTCAAGCTAACAGGTGAAGTAGCTCAGCTGTTTTGGTGAAGTGTATTACTCTCAACAGTTGATAATGTTCTGTGTGATGCGATATTAAATATTTAGCAAGGTAATTCATGTTCCCACAAGATTGTTGCCATATATCCATAATAGTTTCTCCGGTTGTTGCTATGGAAAATATAATTATTATAAATCTCATCGACCCTACATACCAAGTATCAATGCAATTGCGATAATTTTTTAACGAAGATATTTCAGTGAAAATAGAGAGAGTGAGAAATACAAGCGAGCTGAGGGTCGAAATAGCTCCGCTGTCTTCATTATCATGGAACAAGAATCAGTAAAGTGACACTGTGGTTGTAATATTCATAGTCAGTCTATTAGAGAACATTGCACTTGAGTTGCTTGCAGTTGCAATTATGAACTTTTCTAGTGTTCCTTGCTGCAAATATGAAAGCAATTGGACTTACGATTTAGGACTAGTTTTCGAAAGTAACATTTTTTACCAAAAATGACAAAAATATTCATTAAAATTCCAAATTTGCAAATTTTGACACAAATTTGACAAATCTGACGAAGGACCACCCCACGTATCCTTGCTGCAAATATGAAAGCAACTTGACTTACGCTTTAGGACTAGATGTCGAAAATAATATTTTGTACCAAAAATGACAAAACATATTCACTAAAAATCGAAGTTTGCATATTTTGACACAAATTTAACAAATATGACAGTACCTTTGGTACAAATATGAATGTAATGAATGGTCAAGTACTTTTGAAGAAGAAGTCACTTAAAAGAAAACTTGGAACGTGGAACGTAGGACGGACGACACCGGAGAGACCCTCATACCAACAGCTCTGCTGGGTCATCTGCGATGACAGCGGAGCTAAAAATGTCACAAACTGAACAGCTCTGATAGAGTACACCCATGGTATTTAAGAACCAAGGATCAAAGCAATTGAGCTGGTAGTATGAATCATGGGCTCTACTTGATTACTGCCAGCCATTTTGGATTTCACAGTTCTCGCGTGTATTATTTTGAACTATGCCCCTCAGACGTTTTTTTTCCTTCTAAAGCATTCCAAAATGTGCTTGTACTCGCACTTGTCTCAAATTTCCTCAATTTTAGCTCAGTATTCACCGCCTCATTTAAAAATTTCATGAAGTTCAATGTATGTACCAAGTTTGAACAGAATCTGTCCATGTAGAACTAAGATCTGATTCCAGAATGGTGAAATGTGTTACTTTGATACCTTAAAATGGCTGCCATTAGGCCATCTCAAATCAAATTATGAAACAAATGCATGTGTATATGTCAAATATAATGTCCTGTGTTTGAATACAGTTTGAACTTAATCGATCCAAGCATGTGAGAAACACAGACCACAAACACAAAACTCGATCAATCCATAAATCCTTGTTTTCGGACTGCTGGGACTAAGAAGTGTATGCCTTACCATCATCAATTTGATCAGAAATATCACAGAGCATTTGGTTGAACTCTGCATATGCTATCATATTATTTGTACTTCTGTCTTCAAAAGTTGAGTTAGTATAAGACACTGCAAAATAAACATAAATAATAACACATATTTTTAGGGTACCACAAACACAAGTTTAGTAGGTCATTAGGGGATCTGTAATGAGAAAGATATATTTTATAATTACAAATATAAGATAGGTGATTATGTTAAAAAGAGAACCGGTCCGAGAAGCAAGGAAATACATTGTAAGTGGCAAAGAGATTGTAAGCAGCAAGTGAGATTGGGCGAGAAATTGTACAACTTGTTTCTTGTTCTTTAACACAACGTCATCAGATGCCATTTTGTAAAAGTTCACATATAGGTAAATGCTGTCTAGGATTATGGTTGTTTATGGTTAGTTTACTGAAAAATGCCAATGTTTATATTGAGAAAAAAATATCAATTTGCAGCTCAATAATGCGTGAAAACAAAGTTTAGTAAATGAGTAAATGTAATTCAAGAAAACTTTGATGATGCTTTTCCCACAAATGGTGAGGCGGGGTATACTATATTAAAGTAAAGTATCTCAAAATCATAACAAGTCTTGTATCTCTCAGTAATGCATTGCTCTAAAAATAAAGTGAAAGAAAACGACTTTGTCTACATACTACTTCATAGAGAATACGTCAGCATTTCAGTGTAGCGAGTTCTGATGGGAAAACTAAGGAAAATTAACAATATATTCTGTAGATTCTTTTATTTATGGGACCCCTTCTTATAATAAAATAGGTGTCCCTCTCTAATAAATAATATAATCAAATATAATATCCTCTAGAATAAACAATTTGGATTCAGGAAAGACTGTCGAACAACAGACAATCTGTTTATCCTGAAAACTATTATCAATAAATACTTCCATCAGGACAAGAAGATCATCCATCAGGCGGATGATAAAAATAAATCAAAAACATCCAATAAAATTTAGGCCTGCTTTGTAGACCTAAAAAACGCCTTTGATAGTGTTTGGCTTGAAGGTCTTTTTTATAAATTGTTGAAAAATGGTGTAAACGATAATATGTACAAAATTATAAAAGATATGTATGGTGATGTTTGTTCAAATATCGGAGTAAAACAAGGATGCAACCTTAGCCCAAGTCTGTTTAATTTAATTATTAATGACCTGCCTGATATTTTTGATAATGATCATTGTGACCCTACACTGTTACACAACACACCCATTAATTGCCTTTTTTATGCAGATGATATTGTGATTATTTAAAAATCCAAAAAGGTATTACAAAACTGTTTGGATAAACTAACAGCCTACACATCAAAATGGTAGTTGTCTGTCAACACAAATAAAACAAAAATGATGATATTCAATAAATGTAACAGACTCCTTAACAAGGAAATATTCTTTTATGAAGGAAAAGAAATTAATATAGTTAAAGATTTCAATTATCTTGGCTTAATTATGAGTCTTATCTGGACATGTCCATACTACTGTCACTATTTGATAAACTTATCAGACCAGTTATTGTGTATGGGAGTGATATTTGGGGAGAAGAAAATTCTACAAAATCAATTGTAGAGGATGTCCAGCTTACATACTATCTGTATCATTCTTGGTATCTCAAAAAATACACCAATCATGGCAATATAGTGTGAATTAGGAAAATTACCTCTTGACTCTTTTATTAAGAAACAAATGATAAATTATGCCAATCATATTGCACAAATACTCTACTTCGAGAAGTATACTATGTCAACAAAATTATTAAAAGTAAATGGTTTAAAAAACTTGATTTGATATTAAAAAATATAAACCATTCTTATCTTTTAAATGAAACAAATATTATCTCATTATCAAAATTAAAAACAATTGATGAGAAATTAAAAGAGGAATTTACAACTGAGTGGAAAAATGAAATAAATAATGACAACAGGAAAAAATCAAATTCTAAAAATAAACTAAGAACCTACACAATTTGTTAAAACCAAAATAGAACAAGAAAACTATTATTATAAAAACAGAGAACTTCGCAAAAATCCTTAACAAAATTTAGACTTGGTCTGAAAATTGAAACAGGGCGGCATACATGATTGATTTTAAAGACAGAGTCTGCAATATGTGCGACAACGACCATGTTGAAGATGAACAACATCTTGTCATAAATTGTCTTCATTACAATGAAATAAGATTAAAACTTTACATTGTAGCTAATAAATGTATACCAAATTTTGAAAAAGTTAGTAATGAAAATAAATTCGTATCATTACTAAGTGACGAGAAAATGTCTATTCCTTTAGCGCAATATTTAAAAAACTATTTTAATACAAGACAGCAGCACCTACATAAACTAAGCCAGTAATACATTCCTTGTATGCAAATTTTTATCATTTTCTTTTTCATTATGCTATGTGTTTCTTTACTTTTTATGTAGTTATTTTTCTTTACTAATATCTGATTTGTAACCCTTTAATAAATAAATCTAATATTGGGGGTCCAGAAGACAGAATAGGGTTTACGCGATCCCTGCTACATGGTGATGCATCAAAGATTGTTGTTTCCCAGCGATCTATTTGGATATCATAAAAGATCACAGCGATTTACCCCCACATATTTATCACTGATAACAAACTGATTGTGGCTAAACATTACCATGATTTCCACATACAATCATCACTGCTCCAAACATTATCACTACTGCTTACGAGATATTGGCTGACTTGCACTTTCAACCATTGACAGGAAAAAAGAATTTCAAGGATTCATCAGTAATTACTATAGAAGCAACGTACTTTAGTGACAAGCTATCAAGTGTCTTTGGGAACAGAGGCCAAGATTTACTCGCACTAAAAGATGTATTCACCAGTTTTGTGAACCACCTCGAGGACCAACCCACTGTACCTAGGATGTGATATGGAAATTGATAATTTCTTGATTTCCATCTAAAACATTAGGTTTGAGCATTGCCTCAGAGCATCTATGTACCAAGTGTTATTGAAATATGTTAAACGGTGCATGAATAATAAGTGAAAATGCCTGAATTGGCTACTTAATATGCAAATTAGGTGATTAATATTCAAAGTTGCAACCAAAAACTAATCAGATATGTGCATTATCCCAGAGCATATTTCATTGAAACCTGTAGAATGAAAGATGAGAAACAAATAAAAATGCTTCAAATTAACTAATTAATGTCCAAATTAGGTAATTAAAATGTACATATTTCAACCAAAAACTTATCAGGTCTGAGTATTGTCCTATACATGTACCAAGTTTCGTTGAAATATGTTTAGTGGTACATAAGAAACAAGTGGAAATGTGTAAAATTGGCTAATTAATATGCAAATAAGGTTATTCATGTGCATGGATTTCAACCAAAAATCAGGTCTGAGCATTATCCCAGAACATCACAGTCCCTGTGGTAGGCATATACGCAACTCAAAGTCAATATCATTTAACATGCATGTAATACATTTACTAGTCTGGTTTGCAATATAAAAATCGGCACAATGTATGGGTTACCTTTCCATTTTGTTTGATATCAAACATGGGCAGAGTGAAACAAAAACTAAAATTGCATATAAAAACAAGAGACCTGATGGAAAAAATAGCTTTTCAGTCCCACAAGAACATTGTGGTAGCCAAGTCAAGCAACGCACACCCACAAGACAAAACAAAAAAGTTGAAAATAGCATTTTTACCTAAAATGACAAATATATTTATAAATATTAGAGAATTGACGATGTTGTCAGGAAATGAACAAATATAACATACGAAGTAACAAAGCAATTGAGCTGTAAGTTTATTCAAGAAGAAATGCAATTGTTAATGGACGACAGCGGACAATCATCTATATGAACAGCTCCGCTCTGTTATCTAGGATGAGAGCTAATGACACAAATATTCATCAAAATTAGAAAAATCATCACGAAATGAACAAATCAGAGAAAGGTGACTAATATTCACAACATGAAAGAAGTGCAATAATTATTGTGTAAATTAGTTAATTGATATGAACAGATTTTTACTCAAATTTATAAATTTTCCCCAGAGGAGCACCTAGGTACAAAATTTGATGTGCGGTTCATGTCAGTTGAACAGAAATACACAATGTACAAACCTACATACACTCCAAAAACTCCTATTGTGTTCTTCAAACAAAAGAATCAAAAACTACTCAGCTTCGAAGTGCACTACTAAAAATCGAAGACTTGATTTTTACGTATTGCAGTCCTCCCCATGACACCCTTGGTGTTAGGTTAGACAATATCTGACTATATCTAAATAGTGGCAGTACTTGTAGTGACACATGCATGTTCCTCATGTAATGCATAGTTTTGTGGGGGAAATTAAGTGTAATATGAGGGAGAATATGCCATGGAGCCATATATCATCTCTTGGGAGATAGTAAGATAATATTACCTTCATCTGTGTCATCTCTTTGAACATTCTTCTTTTGGTTACTTTTTAGTGTTGCAGTAGTATGATCATCAGAAGTCACTACAAAATAAGTAGACTTATTATAATAATACTATACAAGGGAGGTATTTTAAATATTGGGTAAAATGAACGAAAATAAGATAATATTACCTTCATCTGTGTCATCTCTTTGAACATTCATCTTTTGGTTACTTTTTAGTGTTGCAGTAGTATGATCATCGGGAGTTACTACAAAATAAGTAGACTTATTATAATAATACTATACAAGAGAGGTATTTTAAATATTGAGTGAAATGAGACAGTAAAATAATATTACCTTCATCTGTGTCATCTCTTTGAACATTCTTCTTTTGGTTACTTTTTAGTGTTGCTTCATTAGTGTCGACATTGACTGTAGTATGATCATCAGAAGTCACTACAAAATAAGTAGACTTATTATAATAGTACTATACAAAAGAGGTATTTTAAATATTGAGTGAAATGAGACAGTAAGATAATATTACCTTCATCTGTGTCATCTCTTTGAACATTCTTCTTTTGGTTACTTTTTAGTGTTGCAGTAGTATAATCATCAGACGTCACTACAAAATAAGTAGACTTATTATAATAATACTATACAAGGGAGGTATTTTAAATATTGGGTAAAATGAGCGAGTAAGATAATATTACCTTTTTCTGTGTCATCTCTTTGAACATTCATCTTTTGGTTACTTTTTAGTGTTGCAGTAGTATAATCATCAGAAGTCACTACAAAATAAGTAGACTTATTATAATAGTACTATACAAAAGAGGTATTTTAAATATTGAGTGAAATGAGACAGTAAGATAATATTACCTTCATCTGTGTCATCTCTTTGAACATTCATCTTTTGGTTACTTTTTAGTGTTGCAGTAGTATAATCATCAGAAGTCACTACAAAATAAGTAGACTTATTATAATAGTACTATACAAAAGAGGTATTTTAAATATTGAGTGAAATGAGACAGTAAGATAATATTACCTTCATCTGTGTCATCTCTTTGAACATTCGTCGTTTGATTACTCTTTAGTGTTGCTTCATTAGTGTAGATGTTGACTGTAGTATGATAATTAGTTGTTACTGCAAAATAAGTAGACTTATTATAATATTAATATATTGAGAGTGAGATACATTTCATTTCATCCAGAATTTAAAATAATATGACATTACCTTCAACTGTGTCATCTTTGTGGAGACTCAGCTTTTTGGAAGTTTTTAGTGTTGCTTCATTAGTGCCGATGTTGACTGTAGTATGATAATTAGTAGTTGCTGCAAAATAAATAGACATATTATAATAATACTATATAAAAGAGAGGTATTTCAAATAATGGGTAAAATGAGATAGTAAGATAATATTACCTTCATCTGTGTCATTTCTTTGAACATTCTTCTTTTGGTTACTTTTTAGTGTTGCAGTAGTATGATCATCAGAAGTCACTACAAAATAAGTAGACTTATTATAATAATACTATACAAGGGAGGTATTTTAAATATTGGGAGAAATGAGAGTAAAATTATGTTACCTTTAACTGTGTCATCTCTTTGAACATTTGTCTTTTGGTAAGTTTTTAGTGTTGCTTCATTAGTGCCGATGTTGACTGTAGTATGATAATTAGTAGTTGCTGCAAAATAAGTAGACTTATTAATATTCTGTTTTTGTAGATTAGTTTGTTTTTATTCCTCCCTTTTTAGTGTATTAATACTGTATACTTTTAATATCTGTAACCATTGCCATTCCTTCGGGGGAGTGAGTATGTGTTAATAAATTAATAAATAAAATGAATACTATATAAGAGGGAGGTATTTTCAATATTGAGTGAAATGAGACAGTAAGATAATACTACCTTCATCTGTGTCATCTCTTTGAACATTCTTCTTTTGATTACTTTTTAGTGTTGCTTCATTAGTGTCGACATTGACTGTAGTATGATCGTCAGGAGTTACTACAAAATAAGTAGACTTATTATAATATTATGAGCTTATTACAAGGATATTGCAAAGTATGCATGAAGACAGCACAGCGTAGTATCGACCGAGACGCAGTGAAGGTTGGTGCAACTATGTACTGTCTGAGTGCATACTTTGCAGTATCCTCATAATAACCTTATTATTATGCATCTTTTCCTCCGAGGGATAAATCATGGGAATGCCGACATCCAAAAACGTTTAGGACAGATTTAGCAAACTTGTTTTTGTGGGGTCCAGTCAAACCCTGGGAGAAGCCATGTTTGTTTTTATTGTTAAAAGACGCTTACGTGCATAACTACCGTACTCGACCGCGTTAGCGCCCAGGGGCCTCAACTCAGAAAATCACGATTTTTTAGGGGTGGGCGCTTACCCGAGCACCCCCCTCGAAAAAGAGTGTGTAAATGAAAAATGTTATTCATCAAGTGACAGATTACGTCTTTGAGGGAAATCAAATT